CCTAATCTTCAATCATTTAGCACTTATTTGCTATACACTTACTATGAGCTGGTATCATTCTGTGATGGCAGAAGACAGCTAGGTGGCACATTAGGTGAAAAACTGGGCCTGGGGTCAGAAAAACCTGAGTTTGACTCCAGCCCCAGACACTTACCAGGCATGTGACCCTGGGAAAATCTCTTAGCCTCCACCTGTCTCAGTTTCCTCATCTATAAAATGGTAATAATAATAATAGCAGTTTTTGTGAGGATTCAATGAGATATTATTTATAAAGTGCTTTGCAAACCTTAAAGTACTATGTAAATGCTAGCTATTATTATTAATAGCTAATATTTGTAAGGTTCTTTAAGATTTTCAAAGGACCTGATCATTCATTATTTCTCTGGAACCTGTGAAGTAGGCATTGCTTGTGTGTTTACCCTCGATTTATATAGTTTAAAATGATTTATCCAGGTTCACATAATTAGAAAGCATCAGGGATAGAATCTTCTCTGACTCCAAACATAGTATTCCTTTTGCCACACTATACTGCTCCAGGGTATTAGACTTACTAATCTAGGTGTGATCTTAGGAAAGTCATAATAAAACCTCTATTTCCATACCTCTAAAGTAGGGAAAATACAGGGGGTCCCAAAAGTCTTGGTGCAGTTCTAAGGCATTACAACTCAAAACAGCACTAAGATTTTTGGGACACCCAGTAATACATCACCTGCCCTATTGGTCAACTGTAAAAAGTTACATAAAAAGGAACTATTGTTATTATCATATACTAGATTTTGAGGTCAGTATATGTAGCCTGGGCCAATAGAAAGGAAGCTAAATTTGGAGCAAAAGGACCTGGGTTCAAATACCAGGTTTTCAAACTAAGACTTGTATGAACTTGGGTAACCGACATGACCTCTTTGAGTTTCAGTTTCTTCATCTGCAAAATGAGACGGTTAGACTAAATGACCTCTGAGATTCATTCAAGGTCTACAACTACAATCGTCCAGAGAGATCTACAGACTAGCTCTTATACTGAAAGGATTTATGGTATATGTCAAATAATGTCCCGACAATGATATCCTAAAGCAGTCTATGATAGTGTGCACCAATGCTTTAAAAAGATTTTCCTGATGGTATTGAGTATAAATAGATCATAAACATAGTGAAGTTTATTAAGCAGCACAAAATCTGAAAGGGACCTTAGAGGTCATCTAGTACAACTTTTTACATAGTGCACGAAGCCTTTCTGTAACACCTCAGACAACTAGTCAACTAATCTCTGCTTGAACAGTTCCCATGATGAGGGTGATTGCTAATTTCCAAGGCTTTTCCATTCTATTGCTAGACAGCTCTAATTAGAGAATCCTTCCTTATGTGGTTTCAAAACATGCCTCTCTCTGACTTTCACTCATTGCTTTCAATTGTCCCCTTGAGAGAGAAACAGAATAAACTTAAATCCTCTAAACTGGGTAACAGTTTAGACAGTTGCTAAATTTTAATAGCACATTGGATCCTCTGCTGATTCTAAGTTTTGATAAGGAGAGTGGGGAGAGAGCATGAGGCCACTGAGTGGCTTAAAGAGAGATCCCTGGATGGGATGGGATGGGGGGCACACCCAAAGGGGAGAAGAGAAGCATTGAAGAAAAACCCAAAGACAAACCTTGCCTACTTCCCAATTTTGCATGCTTGAATTCAGACTTGGGGAAACCAAGAAGCACTGGGATTATCCTTCTTCCTGGAGGAATGATTTGCATCATTCATGATGGGCAAATGTGTTACATTAGAGCTGAAGTCCAAATCAGTGTGGTTGGCTCCCTATAAAAAGGTTATAGTTTCAGAACCTGATACATCTCAGTAGCTCTGTATGGTACATAATTTTAAGATATTAAATTTGGCAAATTGGTGACATGGGTAGTGGATAGAACCAGAGACAGGAAGGGCTTTATTCCATCCCTGATTCTGATATCTCTGATGCATGACCCTGGGCTAAGTGTAACATCTTCGTACCCTTAGCAAGTCTCCAAGGCTAGAAGTTGAAGATCTGCATTGGCAAGGGGACTTTCCTCATAGGTAGCTCCCAACACTAGTGAAATACTAGGTCTGCTACAAATATAAGCATTCGGCTAGGAGTGCAGATAGTAAGAGAGGTCATTTCAATACCCCCTCCTTTAACCTTCCCAATGACTTGCTAGACATCAGAGCATTAGGATGAACCTTGGAAAAGTGAGGCTTTCACATGGGATGCTGTGCCTCCTCTCCACTCCTTCAACATTAACACAGGTCTCAATCCCACTTAAGTTCTAAGGAAAGTGTTAACTTTCAAAGCTGCTTCATGCCTTTTCTGCTCAGAGCCTAGTTAGGCAGAGTGTTTGTAGGCGAGGTGGGTATTTTTAGCATTAGAGAAGTGCTCTGCTTTTCATTATGGGGAACTCACAGGCCTACTCCACCACAGGCAGAAGAGAGAAATCTAATAGCAAAATGTCCTAAAAGCCAGACTTCTGCTTACTAGCCATGCAGGGATCTCTTAACCAAAGCCAAGTAAATAAAAAGAAAGGATTTAAAACCCAGCAGGAGGAGACCAATCTTTGGCACTTTTCCCATTGCTGGTCTAGAAAAAAAAGCCAACTTCCCTAGACACTGACTTTCCCAGATGACCTTGTGAGTTGAGGAGAATTTCAAAAACATTGTGAAAGGAGGTCAGGACCTCTCCATATCATTTCATCATCAATACGTTAATACTTAATGTGTTGAAATTACTCTGCTCCAATATCGGGGGATGAGAAAATCTGGATATTTGTGAATGAAATGAAAAAAAAAACATTTACTAAGTACTTGCTGTGTTCCAGGTACTATCTGTTAGAAATACAAATATAAGCAAGACAGTCCCTGAACTCAAGGTTCTTCTATCCTGGTGGAGGTAGAAGTAAATGAAGGTCCTCACTTGCTTGTCAGTCACATGATTCTGGGTCCAGGTGGCCCAAGGTTACAGAATAGCATGGTTACACTCACACACCTCAAAGAGGGTGGGGAGTGGGAGGAAGGAAAAAGTGATTCTAGGAGTATGTGATGCTAGACTTTCCCATACTTCAGCTAATGAGTTGATTAGGGTTCATAGATTTGGAGATGAAGGCAACCTTTAAAGTCATCTAGCCCAACAAGCTTTGTTTTACATATGAGAAAATGGAGGCCTGGAGAGTTTAAGCACTTTGCTCATGCCCACACAGCAAGTAAATGTCAACTATCAAAGTTCAGATTAGTCCTTCCCTGACTCCAGATCCAGAGCTCTCTCAACTCTGCCATATTGTCCAAATGTGAGATGTTTAGGGGGAAAGTCTACCTAGTTCCAAGACTTATGTATGGTGTCTTGAGACCTGAAGAAATAGATTCCCAAAGCCTAAGGTTAATGGTCCCAAGCCAGCTCAACATGGGAATGGAACAGGAACTATGAGAATTTCAAGGCTGAGGCTGTAGAAGATAATTGACCAGAGGTCCTAGAGTTAAGGTTGAGGACTAGGATTAATCTATAAGATCCTCTGTTACTGTCTCCTCCCCTCCCCTCAAGTTAGCTAAGAGGTTGGTATACTCTCAGCAGTGGTTTACAGAACCACATTAAACAAAGAAAAGTATTGGCAGCTAGAAAGAGGCACCTGTGAGAGAAATAGGCCCACTGGTGGGGAAAGGGGAAGCAAAAACAAAATCTGAGCTTCCAGGATGCAGGATGCTCATTGTATCCATGACACCATACCTCATTTTGAGTAGCTGCCAACTTTCAAAGTGACACTACCCTGCTCAAAAATCTGGTAATCTTTCTCTTCTGCTTACAAGATAAAATCTAAGTATCTAAAATGACATGAAAGGTTCTTTCCCATAGGATGGACCTCAGCCATCATATTACACCTTGTAAATTCTTTCTCCCACAACCAGCCTCCCCTAACAACAGGCAGACTCACTAATCTTCTCCCTATTCCTCCTCCTCACTCCCCCATTACCACATCCTAGGCATGTCTACATCTGTACTTTGATTCATGCTGTTTCCTAGACTGTATTCCTCTTTCTCTCAAAATAATGCCCAGCCTTCCAAGCCAAACTGAAGTCCCATTTCCTCTATGAAGCCTATACTCACTAGCCCTCCTGAATCTCACCTCCTTCTCTGATCTCCTGTTGCATTTATTTTCACATATTGGATAGGCTGTTCCATATGCCTAAAGTGTACTCACGCCTCATTACTGCTTAGAATCTCTATTTCCTCTCAAAGCTTAGCTTAAAGGCCATCTATTATATGAAGACTTTTCTTATTTCCCCTCCTCCCAAGTTCTAATTCCCCACCCCCTATTAAGTTGTATATACTTATATTTTTATATGTTTGTCTCCTCCCTAGAGAATGTAAACTCCTTGAAGGAAGACACTGCATATAGGGTCATTGGGTTATCATCATCTAGCAAAGTGCCCAGCAATGTGCAGGAGCTTAATAAAATTGATACATATCATATACTGTCTTATATTGCTATCTGTTTTGTGAGTATTGGTTGCTTCCCTATGGAGAAGGCAAATAATGCCTCCAAGGAAAAGATCTAATTGTCACATCTTGAAGAAAACTGGGCCAAGTATAGGGCTGGGACATAGTATAAATAGGGCATAGTAGGAACTGTAGGATCACAGGTTGAGGACAGAACAAACCAACAGAATCCAAAGTTTTTGTGACTTTGGGTAAGTTACTTCCACAAGAGAAGGGAGGCTGGATTGATGATTCTTGGAATCTATGGATTTGCTGAATCCTAATAACCATTTGCTGGGCTATTTGTACAGTCTCACCCAAAGTGTGTGTGTGTGTGTGTGTGTGTGTGTGTGTGCGTGTGTGTGTGTGTGTGTGTGAGAGAGAGAGAGAGAGACAGAGAGACAGAGAGACAGAGAGAGACAGAGACAGAGACAGAGAGAGACAGAGAAACAGAGAGAGGCAGAGAGACAGAGACAGCCAGAGACTGGGGGAGGCTAGGTATGTGAAGGGTATTACTTACTTGCTGGTCAGCCACATGACTCTGGGCTTAGGTGGTCCAGGATTACAGAGAGGGATGGTTGCACTTACATACCTCAGAGGAAGTGGGAGTGGGAAGGAAGGACACAATGACTCCGGAATTACTTGAAAATGTCAAACACTAGATATGAATGATAGACAATTCAGGAATTCAAGTTCTTGTGGGCAGAAATATTTCCAGGAAGCCCGACTTGTAGAACATTCCAACCATAATCATGCATAGCAGAAGGGCTCCTGAATCACTGCTTAGCTTCCCGCACAAAGCTTGGGCTGCCTTCACTTGGCAATTCATAGGGCATCCTCTGGGACTTCCCCTAGTAAGACAAAGAGGGTAAATTAAATAATTATTCAATTAAGCCTGATTGCTAAATGCATCACCGTTGTTCTCTTGCCACTTTAATTTACTGGGCTCTAGCTATTCATTTGGTCACATGCTGGAAAGATTTTATAGTTGTTCATTTATCACCTTGGACTTACCATTCAACAACATGATAGAATTAAGGTTGTATGGTTCAAATTGCAGCATTGCTCAATTCTTTTTCCAGATTGAGAAGTTGTAGTGTTCAGGGTGAGCAGGAAGGAGCAGTCAACGTGCTTGGGAGTAAGCAAATTTTGCTTGGGAAGCAGACGACTTGGAATGAGAGGCAATGTGGCACAGCAGAAAGAGTCCTGGATTTGAAGGCAGAAGATTTGGGTTTGGATCCCTGTTTCTGCCGATTAATAAATGCACGATTATACGCAAGTTCAGCTTAACTCCTTTGGGACTCAGTTTCTTCATCTCTTAAAATAAAAAAAAAACAAGGGGGGTGAATTGGATAACTTCAGGTCACTTAAAGGGTCAAATGCAATGATCCCACGAATGAAGCTAAAGTTAAGGCTATGGTTAGTAGTAGAAAAAAAGTGATAATAACTGGCTAGCTTCTTAATAATGATAATGATGATGACAATGACATATTTATATATGTCACTTTTAAAGTTTTCAAAGGTCTTTACATACTTAAACACATCACCTATTTGATTCTCATGACCCTGTTAATTAGATGCTATTGTCATTGCTTTTTTAAAGTTGAGGAAACTAATTTATTCAGAGTCAAACAGTTACTAATTTTCCAAAGGCAGAATTTGAACCCAGGTCTTCTTGGCTCTTTGCAATATGTTAAACAAAAAACTTTCTCACCCTGCAAGATGCAGCTTTTCTCATCCTGGAACATGTTTCTGCTCCTGTAGCCTCCTTCACTAAATGTTAAACTCCTCCCCAAACCTGCCTTTTTAAAAATTAGCGCCCAAATGACGCTCCCTCCCTCCCTTCTCTTCCTCCTACGCTCCTGTTTCTTCAGACTTCTCTGTCATGTTCACACGAGGTTACCTTCCCTCCTTCCACCTATTTTCAATCCCTTCTATGTATTGTCTTCCCTCGTTGGAATGCAAACCCTTTGAAGGCAAGGTCTTTCTCTTTTTGCTTCTATTTATATCCCCAGGACTTAGCATTGTGCCTGGCATACAGTATTTGCTTAATAAATGTTTCTTGACTTGACTTGAAAAAAAAATTACATCCCTGATGGCTAAACCAGTCAGACACTCTCAGAGGAAGCCAGGGCTTTTTATCATTCTTAACTGCCCCCTTACCAAAGAAACTTCTTTCCCTGGGATTTATATGCACATGATCAATCAAATTAAATATTTAAATGGAATCCAATTTGATGCACTTTGTTTGATTGGAAGCATAAACAGCTTAAAATGTACTGCTAGATGGAATCTGAGCTTTAAAAAAATAAAGATGGGAGCAAGAGAAGAAGACAGGATTTTTATTTTAACATTTGATACAATAAAAACAGTTGCAAAGATTACTGGTTGGTTAACCGGCACCTGCATATGTAAGTCCTAGGCTGCAACACCTCCATCTTTTGCCAGAGCTCATCAGCATGCATCTCTTTATTGCCTTGTAAATTCAGTGACTAGAAAATGGATCAGCAGATTTTAGTTCAGTGCAAATGGAGTAATTGAGTTTATGCTTTGACGGGTTTTGCTTTGTTCTACTATATGAGACTAATGGAAGCAAACAGTAGAGATGAAAGCGGCATTTGGCAGTTGATGCTTGGAGATGCAGGAAGGAGGTACCTGTCCCTTTAACAGAAAGATTTCCAAGCCTCTCACAGTACTATCTCTTTCAGTCCCTGGGTATTTTTGTTTTTCCCATATGAAATCAAGAGGAGGAGAAGAAGGATAGGTGGTTGAGATAGAGGCTCAGGTTTTATCTTTTGCTGCGAATAGAAAAGTGGCTTCAATCAATTCCACAGCATTTATTGGGTGCTTACTGTGTGTCCAGCATTGCAGGATGTTTGATTCATGCATTCATTCAACAAACATGTATTAAGCTCCTACTGTATACAAAGAACTAGCTTAGGTGGGAGGGGAAATATACAAACTTTAGTTAAGATGTGACCCAGCTTCCCTGTGGAGCTTACAATCTAGTGGAGGGCTAAACCTAGTGACTGTAAAGCAGAAAATGTCATAATAGATGTATAAGAGAGGCATAAAAAAAAATGCTATTAGCAACAACCTGGTGCAGTGAATAGATGACCAGCCTTAGAGTTAGGGAGACCTGGTTTCAAGTCCAATTTTTGCTATGTTCAAGTAATACACACATGGGCAATGAACAAACTCTTAGTATTTACGTAACTGTCTAAGACTGTAAGTTGTACACAGATTGCTGATTGGTAAAGAGAATTTTCTCACTGGGAGTTCCTCATACCAATGAAATCATATATCTAGACTCAATCCCCACCCACCCTGAAATAACAAGCAAGGTCTGAGGAGGAAAGTCATTATTGACTGAGAACATACTAGGAAAAATATTTCTTTCAAAAATTTTCTTATTAATACCTTTGTATCTTCATTTGTAAACATATTCCTCTTCCCTTCCCACCCAATGAGACATTCCTTGTATTAAAAGATTTTTAGAGGAATAAAGTAATCAATCAAAATCAACCAATATATTAACCCTGACTATATTTACATGTGTAATCAAGCAATAAACATTTATTAAGGTCCTACTATGTTCCAGGCACTGTGCTAAGTGCTGGGAATATAAAAAGAGGCAAAGGACAGTCTTTACTCTCAAGGAGCTTACAATCTAATGGGGAAGACTACAACAAACAGATACAAAGCAAGCTATATACAGGATAAATAGAAAATAATTAGCAGAGGGAAAGCACTGGAATTAAGAGGGATTGGGGAAGGCTTCCTGTAAGAAGATAGGATTTTAGATTGCACTTAAGAGAAGCTGGGGAAGTTGAACAGAGGAGGAAGAATGTCCCAGGCATGAGGAAACATAGAGAAAATGTTTAGTCAGGGAGTGGAGTGTTTTGTTCCCAGAAAAGCCACTAGGCCAGTGTCACTAGATCAAAAAGTACATGTTGGGGGAGTATGGTGTAAGAAGACTGGAAAAGTAGGAGAAGGGCTAGGTTATTAAGGGCTTTGAATGCCAAACAGGGCATTTTGTATTTGCTACTGCAGGCAATAGGGAGCCACTGGAGTTTATTGAATAGGAAGGTGACATGATCAGATCTGAACTTTAGGAAAATCAGTTTTCCTAAATGGCTGAATGGGGAATAGTTTGGAGTGGAGAGAGACTTGAGGCAGGCAGACTCAGCACCAGGCTATTGCAATAATCAATATGTGAGGTGTTGAGGGCTTGCATCAGAGTGGTTGCAGTGTCAGAGGAGAGAAGGGGGTATATATGAGAGACAGAGAGAGAGAGAGAGAGAGAGAGAATGAATCCTGGATGACCCTTGGATTGTTAGTCTGACAAACTGGGAAGATCGTGTTAACCTCTATAGTATAATAGTATAGTATAATAGGGAAGGGTGAGGGGGGAGGAGTTTGGGGAAAAGATGATGCATTGTATTGGACTTATTCAGTTTAAGATGTCTCCTGGACATCCTATTCCAGATGTCTGAAAGGCAGTTAGAGATGTGAGATTGGAGGTCAGCAAAGATATTGGTGCAGAATAGGTAGATTTGAGAATCATCAGCATGGAGATGGTAATTAAATCCATGGGAGCTGATAAGATCACCAAGTGAAATAATATAGAGGGAGAAGAGAAGAGAACCCAGCACAGAACTGCTGAGGGATACCTATGGTTAGAGGGTGTGGTCTGGAGGAGGACCTAGTGAAGGAGACCAGGAAGTCATGTCAGATAGAGTGGAGGAGAACTAGGAGAAAGTAGTGTCATGAAAACTTAAAGAGAAAGGAGTGTTAAGGAAGAGAGGGTGATTAATAGTGTCAATGCTCCTTGACCTCCATGCAACGGAGCACATGGATTGAGAAAAGGTTGTTAGTAACTTTGGAGGAGTGGTTTTGGTGGAATGATAAGGTCAGAAGCCAGATTGTAAAGGATTAAGAAGAGAGTGAGAGGAGAGAAAGTAGAGGCACCTATTGTAGATGGCCTTTTTGAGGCATTTGGCTACAAAGGGCAAAAAGGATCAAGTGAGGGTTTTTTAAGGGACAGATAGAAATGTTTGTAGGCAGTGGGGAAGGAATCAATAGAAAGGGAGAGAGAGAAAATAAGTGAAATTGTGGGGATTAAGGAAACAGTAATCTATTGGAGTAGATGAGATGGAATGAGATCACTTGAACATTTAGAGGGGTTAGCCTTGGTAAGAAGTAAGGCCACTTCATCATGTGAAAGAAGGGTGAAGGGGAGAAAGTGACAGAAGCACCTGAGTGATAGGAGATGGGGAAGAGGGAGTTCATAGAGAATGACTCCAATTTTTTTTAAATATGAGGTAAAATTCTCACCTGAGAGAGTCAGGGGAGGGAGAGCCGTGGGAGGTTTGAGGAGGAACAAAAAAGTTTGAAAGAACTGCTATGGAGAATGGGAGAGTAAGTTGACAAAGGAGGCATCTTGTATTGCCTAGTAGCAATGAGGGCCCAGTTGAGGTTATGTAGTATCAATTTGTAGTAGACCCAGTCAGAACACTTGTGTGATTTTCTCCACCTTTGTTTAGCAGCACATGTGTAGGAGTGAAGGTGATGAATGGTGGGAGTGATTCAAGGCTGAGACTAGGTTAGGCATAATCAATGATAGGTTTTCAAGAGAAAAGGACAGTGTAGAGTTGAACTGATTCACCAAGGAGTCAAGATAGAGAGAAAAGGAGAGAGTGGATAGTCCAGGGGAGATTGCATGGGAGAGAATTGAGGGGTAAAGAAAAGGGATTAGAGAACATGGTGTGGATGAAGAGTAGGATTTCGTAAGGGAAAGGGGAGAGAGAGAGAAAGAGAGAGAGAGAGAGAGAGACAGAGACACAGAGAGACACAGAGAGACAGAGAGACACAGAGAGACAGACAGAGAGACAGAGACAGAGAGACAGAGACAGAGAGACAGAGAGAGAGGCAACAGATTATGGTCAGACAAGGGGATTTCTGATTTCTTGAACATAAAGGTACTACATTTGTGGAAAATGGCAAGATTATGGATATAGCCATCTTTGAGAGCATAGGCAATATTCCCTACCTAGTCTCCTACCTCTATAAAGAAGGGAGGAAGGTCCATTTCCTTACTCTTCTCATCCCAGGCTTAGAAGAAATAGTTTCAGCAAGAATTATCTTTCAGCTATCTCTTTTTATCTGTAAGTAGCAGGATTCTAAATAGTACTTTGGAGTCTCTTTAAATCCAGGGAAGTGAAGCTGGTTTCTGAGGATATGTCCCTGTCTTTAAAGACTTTATTTACACTTCCACTGTAGAGTGAAGATTTAGATGAAAGAAGTAGTGA